AATCTTAAGAAACCATGTGAATGGCCACAAATCCTTATGGCTTGATGTGTATAAGCAAAGAGATACCACCCAGGTTTTACATGACAATATTGTACACATGAAGAACCTCCCCCAAGAAACCAAAAGCTAAGAAGATCAGCAGAAACATAAAATACTATCGTGACAGTATCTTTGTTTCCTAGGCCACTTTATGTGTGCTTTACTTAAAACTGATCAATGTTAAACACAGAGAATCAGAGTTTGGTTTTATATAAATGCATCAAATTCTGACTTTAGAAAACTCTAAATGACCTTTTCATCATAACCAACTTAATCATACACACAAATTTTCTTTTATAACTTTAATACTCCACAAAACTTTCTTGACTTTGTCTTTAGTGTGTGTGTGTGTGTGTGTGTGTGTGTGTGGTATTGGGGTTTGAAGTCAGGGTCTTTGCATCTAGCTACATCTCCAGCACTTTTCTTATCTTTTATTTTGAGACAGGGTCTCTCTGAATCACTGTTTCCCAGGCTGGGCTGGAAGTTGTGATCCTCTTGCCTCAGCCTCCCAGAGTACTAGGATTATTGGGGTTTGCTCCCATGTCGGATTACTCTTATATTTTCTTTTTCAGTACTGGGAATCGAACTCAGGACCTTGCATTTTCAAGCCACTGAGCTACATCCCCTGCTCTATCCTTATGTTTTCTTTTCTTTTTCTTTTTGGAACCATCTGATCCTTTTACTTTAGGATGAAAGCTTTATTTTATCATACATAATAATTTTTTCTTGTTTTTGTATTTCTCTCTCTCTCTCTCCTACTTACTGATTTCTTTCTGTTGTATTCTTGCCCCCACTCAAATTTCAAAAAGGCCTTTGCTATATTATTTTTCCTTTGGTCTCATAGAAATTCCATTTCAGCTAGAATGAGCAATGGTTTAAACCTTTATATGACCTCAAAATTATCTTAGTAGAAGCAGAGAGCAGCAAGAGAACAAGTTAACACTGTAATTATAGTTAAAGAACTGTCCCAAAGCTATAGACAAGAAATGTTTTAGCCAACTGACTAAATGAAAACATCAACTTAGACCATACAATCCCAAGCATATTTAGCAATCAGCCAAGATGGTCCCAAATGGGCTCTGGTTAACTCTCAGGAGCTGCTGGGAAATTGGTTCCCACCCCCTTTGGCATCTGGAGACAGTGCTTGGTCTCTCCCAGCCCTGCTGCCCACTAAGACCCAATGCAGGCTGCACAGAGCCAGCTTTCTCATCTGATATCCAGCTTTGCAGCCTGACCTCTCCATATCAGCCTGACCTGCATCCAGCTGCCGGGACACCCCTCATCCCCACATGCTGGGTGGTGTCACCTGAGCAGGTTTACCTGAGTTCTATTTCCTGTGTCATCGTGTGGCACAGGCTTGAGCTTGGAGGGGCTGCCCCACGGCCACCATGGTCCCACACATCCTTTATTTCCCTTTAAATCACATCGTTCATTAACAAACAACATCCCCCCCATTTTGGGACCCTCTCAGGGCTTCTCCATACCTACGTGGTTCCCAAGCTTCTACAAAAGCCATCATCCTGCACCCATGGAGGTGTTCTGGGACTGTCCCATCCTGACTTTCCCCTCCTTTTAAAAATGTATGTATGTATGTATGTATTTATTGGAGACAAGGTCTTCCTAAGTAGCCAAGACTGACCTTGAACTTAATCCCCCCTCTTTTTTGATACAGAGTCTCCCCCTGTGGTTCCGGTTGGCTTTGGACTCACTGTGTAGCTCAGGCTGGCCTCAAGCATGGGGCAATCCTCCTGCCTCAGCCTTCCCATGGCTAGGATCACAGATGTGCTCTCCCTATGCCTGCCTTTCGCTTCTGTTAATCTGTACAATCTCCGTGATCGCAGGCATTTCTTTGGCTTCCTAGCTGGGTTGGCAGCTGTCTTGCCCACAGCCCAGGTGTGCTGAGGCAGTAGAGCAGGTTCCCAGGAGACCCAAGAAAATGCCTGTGGAGGCTGTGAGGTAAGGGTGGCTGAGATACAAGCAGGAGAGGATGGGTTGAGATTTATTAGCAGAGGAAGACTCCAGTAGCAGTAGCCTGGATTAGTTAATGCCAGGGTCTGGGGGCAGCAGGCTGGCAAGAACATCATCAGATAGAGCTCGAAGTGGCCAGTGGCCCTGGGGTGGGGGACATCCCTCCAGAGGGGCTTTTTAAAGTTAATTTTTTGGGTGCATTTAATGTACACAATATAATGACATCCATTGTTGGAAATTTGTATCTTTAAGTAATCAGTCTTGGTTCTCATTTTTTCCCCAACCCCCTGCCTTCCCTTCAACCCCTCCCTCCCTCCCTCCCTATCTACAAAGACGTTGTTTCCATTATTTTTCGTTTTCTCACATTAATTCCATTCCCTTCTTTCCTTTTCTCCTCCCCTCCCACTTCCCCTTCCCCTTTGTCCCTTTCCTTCCTATTTCACATTATCTGTTATACCTTTTAGTCCTTATTTTCACTTTCAGTTTCTCACAAAAGAGAAACTATTTGGTATTTACACTAGTGTGTCCTATTTATATCACTTCAGAGCATGGCCTCAATGTGCATCCATTTAGCTATAATGTCTCTAATTTCTCATTTTTTATGGCTGAGTAGTATTCCACTTTATTAACCACATTTTCTTTATCCAGTCAGGAAAGAGCTTTATAGACAATGCCACACGTCAGGGACAGGGACATTGCCAGTGAGCTGCATTCTGCTGCAAGGTGGCTGCATTGGCATGAGGGCAGAAGGCCGTTTCTACGATAGCCCTGGTTGGCGAGTCCCAATGTCCCTCAGGTCCTACTAAGCCAGACACTCTGGTCCCCATGGGTTTGTGATGTCCCCTGACTTGGCTGGGTTACTAAGGGGCACGGTGACTGTGTCTGGCTTCCTAGGGGCCTCCACTCGGTTCTCTGAGTTCCTTCTCTGCTTAGTGCCTGTCCTGGCTCAACTGTTCCCTCCTCCTATCCCCTGCAGCCCCTCACTGTCCTTCTCCCTCCCAGCCACCCCTCCTCAGGTCACACACAGGAGTGGGGACCTCCCAGAGCCTCCAACTCCCCACGGCCCCCTGTGACCACTGTGACAGCAGCACGGTCTCCTCACAGACACTTGCACTCCTTGATGGTGGATTCGAAGGGCGCAGCCAGAGGGCCCTGAGTCGCTGCACCCCCACAGCTTGGCACCCAGGACTCTCCAGCAACTCTGTCCCGATGCCCTCCTCTTCCCCGAGGCTGTCTCTGAGCCTCAGTTTACTCACCTGTGGGGCAGACAGCAGCACAGCTCATAGGTGGGAACTGACTGCGGAATGGGGGTGCAGTGGGTGGGCGATGAAGACTGCTGCTGTTCCCCGAGTGTTTGCACTGTGTGCTTCCTAACCAGGTAGCTGCGTTTCACAGGGAGGTAAACTGAGTCACCACATGGTCGATGGCTTATCTGCCTAAGATCCCACACCGGCAGTGGGGGAGCTGGGGTTGGAACCTGGGGATCGCAGCTCCAGACTCCCCCTGCCAACTAGCACCCAGCTGGAACGGAGTTCAGGTGGGGGCAGGTGATGTTCCAGTCCCCAGAACTCGGGGAGGGGGTGGGGGTTCTGGTTTACTGGTAAAGTCAGGTGATCCACGACCCACCCTGGGGCTCCCTGTGCTGCTTTCATAATTTTTTTCAAAATTACCATAACAAAGAGTTTGTAAAAATTTACAAAATAACTCTCTACTTCCAATTCCTAAAGATCCACTCCTAGTTTTTTATAGTTTACTTGTCACATTTAAGCCTAGAATGCCACCAACATTTTTAAGTGTTATTTATTTGTTCGCACGTTTGCTGTGGTAATAGGGCTTGAACAACCCAAAGCCTTCACACTGAGCTACATCCCCAGCCTATTTGCTAGTTAGTAGAGTTACTTCAGGGTCTGTCAGAGTCACTAAGTTGCCCCAGCTAGAATCAAACTTGCAATCCTCCTGCCTCAGCCTCCCAGAGTGCTGAGATCACAGGCATGGCTGCCACAACAAACTCAGAATTTAATCTTGTACTACATGTGCCAGTCAAATCTGATCCTTCTTCCCAATGGATAGAAAACTGTCTTAAATCCTATTTCTTTCTTTTTCTTTCTTTCTTTTTTTTTTTTTTTTTTTTTTTTTTTTTTTTGTTCA